CTGGGTCCCCCCGCGCCCAGGACCGCCCTCCGGATCCCGGTTCAGAGGCTGGGAGCCCCCGGTCCCCGCCTGGGTCCCCCGCGCAGCTGTGCGGGCCGTGGCCGCCCGTGTGCCCGGTGGGGCGTTCCCTCCGCGGTGCCCGCCTCGGCCCCGTCGGTGCTGCCAGCTCCCGGCGGCCTTGAAGGGGGCGAGGACGGTGGGGTGCGCGGGGGGAACGGGGTTTGTTTGGGGAGAACCCGCCGCTGAACCAGCCGGGAAACGCCGCACGTGGCCTCTCGGAGGCCCTGCCCTGACTCCCCAGCACTTGTGTGATGTGCAGGTTTATTTATTTTCCTCTGCCTCTCCCGTCTGTCTGCGATTCCATCTTCTAACAAGTTTGCCTTCGTTTCCTTTTATTTGTCAGAATCTCCAACAGGCGGGTCATCCAATAACGACCGCCCGCCCGCATTTTTATTTTTGTTTTGTATTTCTTTGCTAAGGCGGTGTTTGCTAGATACAAACTCGGGTCTCGGGTGGACGTGAGCCTGCCAGCTGTGGTGGCGGTGGGAGGGCTTGGTGCGCAGTAGACACCACACAGCTGTCCGCTTCCGCTGACTCGGAGCCGGTGCCTAAGGTTCTGGGCCTTCACTCCCTTTTGTCTGGAGGGGAAGTACCGCCCAACCCCTACACTTTGAGATACAGTGGGGCCTTCACTTACGAGTGTCCCGACTAACGAGTTTTTCCGATTACGAGCCGTCTCTCGGCCGATTTTTTGCTTTGAGTTGACAGTAATTTGAGTTAACGAGCTCCGTCATGGAACGAATTAAACTCGTAAGTCAAGGCCCCACTGTAATTGTGAAAATAGGCCATGGACATGGCACAGACCCTCAGCCAGCACACCTCCCCTGAAGCCGGCACCTTTCTCCCACCTCCTCCCAAATGGCTTGACCTCCTGGATCCAGGCTTTTCTCTGAGCAGCTTTTTTTTTTTTTTTAAATATTTTATTGATTTTTTACAGAAAGGAAGGGAGAGGGCTAGAGAGCCAAAAACATCAATGAGAGAGAGAAACATCGATCAGCCGCCTCCCGCGCACCCCCCACCGGGGATGTGCCCGCAACCAAGGTCCATGCCCTTGACCGGAATCGAACCTGGGACCCTTCAGTCCGCAGGCTGACGCTCTATCCACTGAGCCAAACCGGTCAGGGCGTCTCTGAGCAGCTTCCATCTCCCCCGGGTTGCGTTAGGGGTTCTGTGGAGGCGCGTGGAAGCAGGTGACCATGGGCTTTCACATTGAATTAGGAAGTGCAGCCTGACTCCCACGCACAGGTGTCGCTGCCGGTCACTGTTTCCGGTGGACCTGCTGTTTCCCCTGTGCACACGGCTGTATCTTCAGGAATGATGTAGTTTTGAATGTTGATAGGTTCACAGGATGGTGAAGCTTTTCTCTCTACTCCTAGGAAAAATGTGGAAGACTTCACAGGACCTAGAGAAAGAAGCGACCTGGGCTTCATTAACTTCGACATAACGGCAGATATCCTTTGAGACAGGGTTTCGTTGCCTTTTCTGTGGTGCTGTGATGATACACATGTTGTTCAGTGATTTGGGGGACAGGGTGACTATCAACCAAACCTTGGAAATACTTATAAAAAAACTATAATGGCAGATGCTAATATGACTCACCAACATTCATTTTGACCCTGATCTTCCAACCCATCACAGATGCAAGCCTCTTTTCCTCAGTAAAATCGTGTTAATTCCCCCTCATTCACACCTGGAGAAATTTTATTTGTAGGTTCAGGGGTTACTGTGTGAAGATACTCTAAATTCTTCGCAGGAACATTAAGTAAATGGAGAGCTTTAAGAGACTGTGAGTCTGTATTTCGGAAGGAGAATGAGATCATTTGGATTAAAGAAGGAAGAATGTTGCCAGTGCTCATCCTGGCAACATTGAGTATTTCCTGTGCAATCCCAAAGTATATCTTCATATTTTATGTTAGAAACATAGGTTAAAAGTCTGTTATGGGTTGGAAGATCATGGTCAAAATAAGTGTTGGTGAGTCATATTAGCATTTTGCCATTATAGTTTTTTTATAAGTATTTTCAGAACAAAAGTCAGAAATCATAACAGTTGAAAGAGTTACTTTAAAATGGGGTGATTTAAATATTTTCTCTTCATCTTGAGTTCCCCCCTTCTGACAACTCTTGGCCAGCTTATCTTCTGTTAGCGTCTTGCATGAATGTTTGGGCCTTGTTCTCTGCCATGGCCCATCTCGCTGCCTTTTTAAAACCCCAGGGTTAAAGCTGGGTGTGGAGCGTGATCGGTCAGAGCTGTAGAGCGGCTGTCTGGACAGTTGAAGCAGCTGCAGATCCTGGGCCTCGGAGGGTCACCTGATGTGTCTCTGCTCCCATGGTGTGTGTGTGTTTTTTCTTTCCTTTTAAATGTTTTTTTTTTGTTTTTTGTTTGTTTTTTGTTTTTACCGAGTTTAGAAAGAGGGGAAGGGAGAGGGAGAGAGAAATACCGATGTGAGAGAGCAACGGGATGAGACCACACCCTGGGCATGTGCCCTGACTGGGAATTGAACTGGTGACCATTTGGTGGATGGGTTGATGCTCAGCCAACTGAGCTACTCCAGCCAGGGCCCATGGCGTTAGTTTTAACTTGGTTTTTAGAAATAAATTACTGGGTTTGGAAGTAGACTAGGAATTAGTTATATATACATAGGCCCTTTGAGGAACTAGAGTACACCGTGAGAAAAGTCCAGTGTATGCTAAACTGCCTGCTTTCAAGTGTTCTCATCATTTAAAAACATCTCTGGTAAGAGGCAGTTTGGATCGAGTGTGAAAGTAGTAACTGTCTGGACCAGGGATTTTCAACCTTCTCATCTCATGGCACACAAACTAATTAAAATTCTGCAGCACACCAAAAAGTATATTTTTTGCTGATCTGACAAAAAATAGGCATAATTTTCATTGCTTTACCAAAAAATAAATAATAGTAATCTCCTACCCCTTTTTGCTCCAAAATTACTTAAAAAAATTAGGTGCCTATACTTACATATAAGGATTTCTAGTACCAAGAATTAGCCAATCAGACGCATCCTTATTATGCAACATGACCAATAAGATGCAATTATTCTATGACCTATGTGTTTATGGTTCAGGACAGGGTATTCATCCCAGACAGTCGAAGGGAAAAAAGGTCAGTGCCCTGACTAAATTGCCAGGTGTGGCATGATCTCACTTCCATGAGGCATAGCAGCAGAGGCATGGGTACATGGAACAGACTGAGAGGTGTCAGAGGGGCGGGGAGCTGAACGAAAGAAGGTGAAGAGATTAAGTCAAAACAAAACAAAACAAAACACAAATACACACATATGTATTGAATAGACAAAGACTACAGATAGCCAGAGGGAAAGGGTCGCTATCCTAGACTTCCCTGTTCTAACATCATGAATACATGAATGTGCTGCTCTCAGTATGTAAACATTTAATATGTGACATAACCATTTAATCAAATCCAAACATGAACACAGCCCATTTCTCAGTCTTGTAATTAACCCTGGTGATTTTTTTCACTCTAGTAAACTGATGAAACCAAATTGGTGACCACTGCATATTCTACCAAAGCATTTCATGGATTGAGATGTTTGATCCCTACTGACGCGTCCAAAAAGCCACATTTACAATTTATTACACTTGATTTAGTTGAGTGTAGTTGATGTTTGCATGTCATTACATTTAAATTGTGATGATTGGTTATACTTTAGAACTGTAGTAGAATCATGTGCTTGAAAAATGAAATCTTTTCTATATATTTTCATTGAATTAGTGGCTCAGTATGTTTCTGGGCCACTTTTTCTCTATTTTGGTGTTAGTATTGCTGTGAATACTTAAGCATAACTAAGATCTGTTTTAAAGCTGTATGCTGCTTTATGATTTATTCCTTAATTTGTTTACATCTAGAGAATATATTTGATTGGAATGTTAAGCAGTTGTTTCTTTATTTATCAGCAGAGTATTCAACAAAAAATAACGTAAGTATATAAGTATTTTAGTAGATATGTAACATCTTATTCTTTATGGAAAATATAAATTTTGTATATTCAAAGTACCTGACCTGAGTAGTTTGGTAGAAATCACCAGCCCATGGCAGCCTGTAGCTCTGAGGCGCTGTGGGCTCTGGGGTGCATCGAGGGACTCCCTGGGGGTCTGTGGATCCGGGCAGAGTTGCAGTTTCAGTCGGTTCACCTTATTGATATCAGGTTGGTGTGGCAACTTCTCAGCTTCCCTACATGCCATTCGGGAAACCGCAAATCTGTATGTTTGTCATTTTAAACTGAAAAGGGAAAGAAGTTAAACTTTACTCGGACTCTACGTGGACTGACAGTAATACTCAGTCCCCAAATCCGGGGTTGGCTCCATGCTTCCTAAAACGTGTGTGCCCTCATACTCTGGGGGTGGCGAGGAATTCTGGAGGGCAAGAGGTTGACTGGCTCTCTGTGTATTCATTCATTCATCGGCATTTGGCATTGTGCAAAGTTAAGTGGGTGGTATTGTCCAGTTTTAAAGAAATGAATCCTCACATGATGGAGAAATGGCTTGAAAAGATCCCTGCAAAGCTATCAGAGGTGAAGAGAACGCCAGTGGTCCACGCACATGTCACAGGAGCTCGGCACAGCTGACATGCCCGGTCCTCATGAACTGCTCAGCCACTTTCATTAAAGGATGAAAAACAAAGAGCCTGGATCTAGTGAAAGCTGGCTGAGGAAACAGCCTAGTCCGGAAGCCTGTTGGAAATGCACACTTCCTACCGATGTCGCTGCTACTGAAGGGTAACAGCAAAGTGTACTAGGAGCGGAATTTGTAAAGAAAGGTGCATGTTTAGGGGTTTCTATTCAAAATAATTTGTGATCAGAAACCTCTGGAGGCCACTTGCAGTGATACATTCAGGAAGGACGCTGCTGAACTTTGAGCATATTAGGAAATGGAGAGGTGGCATTGTGTGGGATTTTTTTTAAGATATGTTTTTATTGATTTTAGAGAGAGGAATGGGGGTAGAGAGAGAAACATTGATGTAAGTTAGAAACATTGATTGGCTGCCTCCGGCATGCCCTCCCTACTGGGAAGGGAATGGTGGGTGACCTTTTGGTGCACAGGATGATTCCCAGCCCACTGAGCCACACTGGCCAGGGCCAGTTGTAGGATTCTTTGAGCTGAAATATTCTCTCTGGACAGCTAAAATTAGAAAGATACACACCAAGACATTTAAATCAATGAGATTTGTGATCTGTGCTTATAACTCTGGTTACCCAGACATGTAATAAAAAACTGTAAAGATTACTATATTTGAAGCATTTCTGAGGTTATTTTATAACCCATCTAGATGTTTATATGTATAAATACATGGTTTGAGCTGTTTTGATAGTTTATGAAGCCATACCTATGCAATTAATAAATACTGTCGAGAATTTTTCTTTGTTTTGGAGTTGTATGGGATCCAATTTGAGTACTTAAGGTAGTCTTTCTAATCATATATTAGAGTTTATCAGATTTTTTTCATTAGAAGTTATTAAACTATTACATTAAAATATATTAAAACAGTTTGTGATAGAAATTTTTTAGTTCAGTCTGATTTGAAGCTTTTGTAGCTAGAGTAAGGGTTGAGATATTAATACAGAGTGTTGCTAAAACAGATCTTAGGTTCTAAAGTATAAAGTAAATGATTCTGATAAGTGAATTAAAGCACAAATGTGAAATCTGTAGAATTAAAATGAACTCCTGTGTTGCTCTTGCTTAAGTACCCTTATGTTTGCTATCAGCATAGACTGGAGGTAATTTGTAGTTAGAAAGGAGTCTGCTTCTGTATTTCATTTGAGGTGTATTCATTTTCAAGAGATGTCAAATTAACCAGCTTTTTCTGTTGATTAGTTTTTTAGTTCAATGTCATTTTTAGCACTTCAGTCAATTGATTGTACAGCACATTATTTTGAGCATATCTTTTATACCAGATGTTTTGTTAGGCCTGGGAGTATTGGGTTGACTAAGGTGCTCCCTGTCCTTGAGAGTCAACAAAGTGTTAAAACAGGAGAGGCTGTTGAGGATGAGAGCAGCCACTGGAAACACATGCTATTCAAGGCTCAGCCAATCATCCAAATCAATAGGTCTTCTCTTGGTGACAGAGGTACCTAAGTTATACTCCTCGTCTCGTTTCCCCAGCACGACTAGTGAGTGAATCCAGTGTGGAATGTGACAGGTTATGGCTTCATGAATGAATGAATACGCAGGGAGACTTCTCTCTGGCCTGTGCTTGGCTCTGTGTCCCTCCATCGTGACGTTCCTGTTGAGTCTTAGAAAGAGACTTGAGGGTGACCATTTGAACCCTCTCTTAGGAATAACTAGTCCACATCCTGGTCATCACGTGCTCAGCCATTGGCCTCAAGCTGGTGAGTGGTGGTTTAGTGAGAACACAGTTCTCGGGCTTTGGTAGTGATCACAAATGTGTTTTCACTCCATTTCATGCCCCTGATTTGCCTAACAATTTGTTTATGATGTGTCAGAATAGTGGCTTGAAAGGTTGTCCGACTTCTAGAATTTTGCCGTAATAAAGCAATGATGTGCCAGTGTTTTACTTTAAAGAAAAAATACTCAAGGCTTTATTTCTTTAGTGACACTTGGCAATTGAAAGCCCTTGGCAACACATAGATGGGCAGGAGGTGGCCTGGCAGCAGTAACAGCCTGTGCAGGGTCCATGCTGGGCTGGAGGGTTGATTTTAGCAACCCCCTCAGAGTTGGGTTCATTGATCATAAACCAATTGCTTACCACTGCTTTTAATTTGAATTGACAAAGATGCTGTTTCTGCTGAGTTAATGTAATTGTTTTCATTTTCTTGTAGGCTCTGAACCAGGTTGTCCTTTGGGACAAGATTGTTCTGAGAGGAGATAATCCGAAGCTGCTGTTGAGAGATATGAAAACAAAATATTTTTTCTTTGACGATGGAAATGGTCTCAAGTGAGCAATTCTTGTCATTTTTTTAACATTTAATGAAATGTGAAGGGGAGAGAAAGATGTATTTGCATTTTGAAAGAAAAATATTAGAGGGTGAAAGAGGAAGATTGGGAGAGAAGGGAAGTATTTATATGGATCTGACCTGGACGATGGCCTGGAAACACTGTACAAAACTGATCTACTGGTAAAATCTGGGCTCAGTGTGTGGACTGTCAGCCCAGGACCGAGGCTTCTGCTCTGAGGCTTCTGCTTAGGGCCCGGCACCCAGGTCCGAGGCTTCTGCTCTGAGGCTTCTGCTCCGGTGCCCAGGGCCCGGCACCCAGGTCCGAGGCTTCTGCTTAGGGCCCGGCACCCAGGTCCGAGGCTTCTGCTCTGGGTGCACAGGCCCCGGTGCCCCGCCCACGTCTGAGGCTTCTGCTCTGGTGCCCAGGGCCCGGTGCCCCCCCATGTCTGAGGCTTCTGCTCCGGTGCCCAGGGCCCCTGCCTGTGAGCGTGGGACTGCCCAGCACAGGCTCTGAGGACGGAAGAGGAAGTTGCCAGGGGAACTTGATGAGAAAGTAACACGTGGCCCAGCTGGTACTGGGGTTTCTGGTGTTGGTTCTCTTTGCTTCTCTGAACCTCAGCTTCCTTCTTACACACAGTGAGGAGCTGGATAGTGATCTGGGTCGTGTCCGACTCCTCCACCGCGGCGGGTGTGCTCACCTTTGCCGTCTAGATAGCCGTGGAGTTGGGGCTCGCGCATTGTCCTCTGATGCCCCCCAGTCTGGGTTCCTGTTCTCTGTTGTGCTCATTTCAGCCTTGGGCTGCTGGCTCTAGGAGCTCGGGGCATTGTGGGTACCTCTGGACAGCTGGTGTCCCAGTGCTCAGTGCTCCTGGGGTTAAAGGCTTGAAGACTTCTGTTTGTGGGTTAGGGTTCCACTTAGGAGGGGCTGGTTATAAGCATCAGACGCCTCAGTGCTTTAATGACGGGTTCTCATTGGACTAGAAGTGTCTCTGCTGACTCTGATTGCTGTGTCTTTGTAGGGGCAACAGGAATGTCACTCTGACCCTGTCCTGGAACGTCGTACCAAACGCTGGAATCCTACCTCTCGTGACAGGCTCAGGACACGTGTCTGTTCCATTTCCAGATACATATGAAATCATGAAGAATTATTAAATTATTCTGAATCTGAACAGCATATTTTTATACTTACTGGATCCTCTCTCATTTATGTCCTCCTTTGCATCTTCATCCGTTTTTGTTTGTTAACTTAATTTTTTTTTTTTTTGTATAAGAACTAACATCAAAAGGTTTATTTGAAGGGAAAGGTTAAAGTGCTACTTAAACTTAACTTTACAATCAAAACAAAGAAAGGCCACCGGAGTGGGGTTAGAAAAGCGCACTTTAGGATTTGTAAGTTTATCTTTGACGTGTTCCTGGTATCGCCATTCTTCTTAATGGACGATAAGGTGAGCAGGGAGGGTCTCTGACATTTTCAGGGGCCTGTGGAACTCTGTTCTAGGCCTCTCGTCAGTGTACATTCACCCTGGCAGTGGTGCAGAGGTAGACATTCCTTTTATCTCTCTCAGGGGATGTCTGAGACTGGAAACATTCACACAGGCATTTGTGAGAAGCCTGGTTTACATACAAAATAGCCAAAGTGATGAGATTTTGTTCCCTGTGTCTTAGGAAGGGCCATGATGCGTTTTTCTTACAGCTGACTCGCACCTTTCTCCACTTAAAGACTAAATACCTCCATCTATGCTGTAAATCATCCTAACTCATTCTGAAGAGTCTCTTGTCAACCCAATGTGTGTCTTTCAGTGCTTTCTCTGGAACGTTCCATGTGTCCTGTGTGTGGTTTTAGCATTGCCGTTGAAGGTGGACATGTTTGCATGGTCCCTCTGGGTAAAGTTTCTCTAGTGAGCATGCCTAGTGCACTGAGGGCTGATTATTTAAAACGTTCTGCAGGTCCCCATTGTAATAGCCATTGGGGTGATACTTGGTGTGCTTTCCCACGTGCGGGCACTCGCATATGTCACTGTAAGTTATCCTCCATGAGCTGATGAGGTCAGCAGTGCAGTGTCCGCTCTTTGCAGACGGAGAAACAAGCCCAGAGGTTGACTGAATGGAGCTGTTACATAGCTCACAGGGACGGTTAGGCCTGGAACTCAGATCTGGTTCTCTCAGCTTATCTTTCCTCTTAAGACTAAGCAAAGGTCACATGTATAACTTCATTACATGTTTCGTCGCCCTGGACACCCTGTGTACCACTCCTAGAAGGGCTTTCCATCCCATGTGGAAGTAATTTTACTTATGTTAAAAGTGTAAGAATCCAAATGTATAAAAATGACTTAGAGATTAAACTCATGATAATACATGATTGACTGGTCCTATTTAGCATGATTTCCCTGGAGTAGGCAGATGCCCGTCCTCACAGGGGGCAGCCACCCGCCAGTTACCCTTACAGCCGGCCCCGCGCTGTCGCCACGCTCCCAGCAGTGGCCACGGGGCTGGCGTTTCCCCAGCAGGGTGCCGGTCCTGGCTAACATCCGTCGTCGCGTCTCCTGGAAGCCCACGCCATTCACTGACACGCGTCTTAGCGGCTCGGTGAGAGTTGTGTTCCTGGCGAGGTCAGAGGTGTCGTGAGCACTAGACGGGGTTCTGCTCCCAGCTCCTCCATTGGCTTCGCAGGGTCTCGGTTCCTTCTCTGCTAAGTGACAGTTGGACGAGTTCCCTTCGCTAGTGGTTCTTCCGCAGCTCACACACGTCTATGAAATCCCTTGTCTGCTCAGCAGAGAAGGTTAAACACAAATCACGCCAATCATGTGGAGCCAGGCAGACGATAGACAAATGTGTAAGTCTCGTGGGTCTGACTTGGTTAGGTTTACACCCAGAAAACGTGCTGCGTGTGGTTAGGGCACGTAAACATGGAAACTCTAGGCATCCGCTAAGGTGGCCTGGAGTCCAGTGGTGTGGTGTGAGCGCCCAGCTAGCGTGATGAATACTTCGTTTTTTGTTTGTGCTTGACTAAGGGGAACTGCTCAGGACAAGGGGAAATGCTCCAAGTTGGCATAAGAAACCTCGATCCCAGGAACTCCTTTTTGGGTGTGTACAGCTTTGCTAGTTTTCCATGATTCTACATTAAAAAAACGAGACTTTTGTTCACTTTTAGTGAAGTCTTACAAAGTCTCCACAAAGACCCAAGTCTTCAAACTTACAGAAACCCCGGTCTGATTAAAAATGTGTGAGCCCAGAAGTGATGCTGGCAAAAAGAGGAATTGCGAAACGCTTAAGCAGTTCTGGTTGGAAACAGGTTAATTGTAACATTGAGTATTTGCATACCCCCTTTCCTTCAGCTAAGCTGCCTAAACAAGTAGCTAGAGCAGTGCTTTTTATCCCCCGATTGCTTACATTTGCTTTCTACATGCTTAAGGAAAAGAACAAACTTCAGAAATTCCTTAGGGTGTAACACAAAAGTGGGTCATTTTGAAGTTTGCTTCTTGGAATGATTTTACAGTTGCCTGGTGGGTCTGGCTAGGAGATGGGCTCTAAGAGGATAATGAACTGTTTGTCACTGTTCTACAACTTAGCGGTCTGATGCTTTGGGTCTTTGGGGTGTGGGTTAATGGAGGTATTATTTTATAATACTTTGAATGGGCGTGAAGGGTTTATGGGGGAACCATAGGCTGTGGACTTGGGTGGCACACAACCATCTATCATCCCAAAAGCGTCCCCTGCCTGTAGCAGAGCCTGTGGCAGCCCGTGGTTGAGAGGAGGTCTAGCGTGTTCTGGTGCCATTTGGGAAATTGTTTACTTCACAGGTACAGGTTGATTAAAACATTCTGAACACAAGATCTGTTTGAGGATTTTCTTAATTGCAATAAATAGCATTTTTCTAATGAAAATGAATGTTATGACTAAGTGTGCACTTTAAGAGGTTTTCAGATGTGTGCTTTTTATGTGAAGCTGCTGACTAAAAGGGATGCAATCAAGTCCAGTGAACTGAAGTTCTTTCTTTTGTTTGTTGTTGGTGGTGTGTGTGTGTGTGGGGTGGGGGTGGGGGAGGGGGGGATGAGTGGGTGTGTGTGGATGGGCGGGTGGCGGGAGGTTAGTTACATCTAAGCTCTCTGCAGAGCCTGCGCCTGTGCTAGGCCGCGCTCTCGGAGGGCTTACCTTTGCATCTTGCCCAGCGCCTGGCAGAGTGCCCTGCACACCTAATAGGCGCCCAGTGAATATGGGTGGAGAATGGCGCCCTTGTCTTTCTGATGGGACCAAACCATGGGACAGTCACTGGTGCTTTGTGAATGCTGCTTTTCATCCCGGGGCTCCGGCCATTCGCTTGGCCCCTCTCTCCCTCCCAGCCCTGGTTGGGACCAGTCCCGGCAGGTGCTGCTCTGGCTCCCACCGCCCTTGGCAGGAGAGCCTGGGGGAGTGGGTGGCTGGGAAAGAAGGTTGACCTGTAAGGAGCTTTACTTTAAGGTAACAGGAAAGCCCCGCACAGACCCACCCACTCGAAAGCTCTCGGCTGGCTACCAGCTCCTGAAGAAGCGGCTCAGTGCACGGCCTGGCTCCTGGAGGAAGGCCAGGAGCTGCGCTCCGCCAGCCTCGGGCACAGCGGTGTCCGGCAGCTGACTGCGGGCCCACCTGGCTCCTTGGCCAGCACAGGACGTGCGGAAATTACTTCCCCTCCATCTCGGGGGAGGAGTTTCTCAGAAGAGGGAGAAGAACATCCACCAGTGAGCCCAGACAAAACAATGGAAATAGTCCCTCAGATAGAAAACCAGTCGAGTTGGAGGATGGGTGTTTCCTTTTTACCTTAGTGTGTTTTATCTGGAAGAGTATAAAAGGCCAGCTAGATCCAGTTTTTGTTTTTCCTCCAAACCTGGGCAGCCCTATGTCAGACCTGCCCTTGGACGTTGCCTCTTGTACTTTCTTTGTGGCAGGATAGGAAGAAGCTGGGAAAGACCCCGGGCAAGTGGAATGGAGAAACCGAGGCAAGAAAATGAAACAAGGCCAAACCATTTGGACAGCTTGCAGCCAGCTTGTCCATCTTAAGACCTTATCTTCCCAACCAAGGACACCTGAGAGCAAATGATTAATGCCTCTCCTCCCTGACCAGAGAATACATGGCTTAAATCACTGGGGAAACAGACCCAGTGAATGCCATTCGTGCCAGCTCCACCCAAGGACAGAGCTCTTGGGGGATGTTAGGGCAGGAGGCGGGGAGAGAAGGGACAGTTTATCCCATCCACTAAACAAGGCAGCCGTCTTGGGACGTGCCAAACAAGATGACTAGATGTATCTGCAGGCATCCCAAGGTAAGTCCGCAATGTAGAAGGGGACTTTGAAACCCAGTCTGCTACCCAAGCTATCTGTCAGGAGAGCTTTGAAACCTATAGTGAGAAAGGTATGAAACCCCTTAACCCCCACCGGGTGCGCACTCAGACTAGCTGAGTTGCCCGCTTGTGTTTGATGCCAAATGTATTCTTAGTCGCTTGCTTTGCTTCAACGCTGCTGTCACTTGTCTAAAATCTTCCTGGTGAGGTTGAGAAGAGCCAAGGAGGGGACAGCCCTCCCTGTGACCCCTGGGGCTGCCCAGTAACACTGTCCCTTTCTTCCCAGGTGATACCTTAAAGCTGTAATTCTGGGGTCAGTGGGCCTCTTGATTAGTGAGTTACCTGCAGAAAGAAAGGGTATCACATCAATCGGCCGGCCGTGTGCCTTTGTCAGAGTCAACTTCAAGCTTGGAGTGGCTTCTCAGCTGGGCCCTCCCCCCTGGAGGATAAGGGGCATTTCCTTCTTGGAATAAGTGTAACTCATCACATCCCATGGGGCCTATCTGTTGAGTACAATGGGAATTAGGCGCCTGGGAGTTGAAAAGTAAAGCACTGGCCCTAACCGGTTTGGCTCAGTGGATAGAGTGTCAGCCTGCGGACTCAAGGGTCCCAGGTTCGATTCCGGTCAAGGGCATGTACCTTGGTTGTGGACACACCCCCAGTAGGGAGTATGCAGGAGGCAGCTGATCAATGTTTCTCTCTCATCGATGTTTCTAACTATCCCTCTCCCTTCCTCTCTGTAAAAAAATCAATAAAATATATTTTAAAAGAAGAAAAGAAAAGAAAAGTAAGGCACTGATTGGCAGTAGATACCCCTGCTGGTCGGGCCTGGAAGGCTGAACCCTGCCTGGTACAGGAGTGAGCACAGA